GACGAAGGAGACTTTCAAACCGCAAAATCACTTGACCCCAGTTAGACTGAATTTTAGAATCTAAGATGCTTTATAGTAGATATGGAATCTTGGTTTAATCAAAATACAGTAGGTAGGTAGGTTTGATGTTAGTGAGAAATAACATTTTTGGCCCTAACATCCTATTTATCAAACATAGCAGTATATCTATGCTGTATATAATTGCATACTGTCAAATTGAAGAGTCCTTATCGAATGGCATTGATGTAGTATGTGGCATACTTATACATTAGTATGTGAGTCATAGTTGATTTGAATGAGTATAGCTTAATCAGTAATAGATGGGTTACTTAGACTGGGACCTGTTTTATCATTCAAGTTAATGGAAAAACTGGTCATAGTCTAAAATCCATAAATATTTAACTAATCCTTTTCTACTTTAGAAAAATAGTTAATCAACAAGATAAGAACCAAGCATATAAGTCATGCCTTGTCAATCATCCATATTAATTTAAGATAAATGAACTGCATCTTATATTTAGGTAAAATATATTTTGTCTATTTATAGATTTACAATCAAATCGTTACAGTTTCTATAATAATTGCTTAAATAATACAATAAAAGGTTTAAATTACCTGTATCCGTCAAATGATCCTGGTTTGTAGTTGGTTGACTACAGCTGTTTCATGTTAATATTAAGACATCTTCAGGTTAAATTGTTTTTACCTTGTTTTGAACTTTAAACCTTATGACGACCATTCTATGGAATAAATCAATGCAACAATTTGACATGAAGATGTGTTAATATTAACATGAAACAGCTGTAGTCAACCAACTACAAACCAGGATCATTTGACGGATACAGGTAATTTAAACCTTTTGTTGTAAAAATTAGTGATCCAGAGGCTATACCATAAAAATGAGCTTAAATAATGTGTGAATGTGTTTTTATGCTAATTGTGTTGCAGTTTTTTTCCGTAAAGAATTGAACTTTCATTATTTTCAAAAGTTTTTACTTTAAGAGGGCTCTACACCTTTACCAAACGACTGATCACCACCTGACCACCTCCGTATTACTCAAATTCTGAGCTTATTAAAGCACTTATCGACTTTCAGTGAATGGGAAAATGTTTCTAATGAAATAAACTAGGTTTTTAACATATTTTAAAGTATTTAATTTTTACGAAACATATTTTATTCAGGGTTAAAGGCAATGAAAATTGGTTATCTTCTTCTACATAAACCTTAAGAATTTAAACAAAATTAGAAGTTTTTCCGTTTTAAAACCCTTATAAGACATTGCAGATAATTTCCCCCTTGGTAGGACTTGACAAAAACCAATAGTTAACTCATAAATTGAGTAATTTGTGAGGGTTGTTTGCAAAACACCCCTGTACGAAGGAACTATCACCGCCGAGGAGATATTCGTCAGTGTTGCCAACCTGTTTCTCTGCCCATTAGGACATGGGACGGGTGTAATTCCCCAGAAAGGCTCACTGTGTCCTTGAATTGGATAACTATAAAGACACAATATTTGTCACTTGACCCATATCGTAATTCTTGATAAATGGCTAAGTCAAAGCATTATATTCGGGCTTTTACCATTCAGTGAATAATATGATCGATAACGTAAAAAAAATATGATTAAACCTAATAAATGGTAATACACAAACATTTGACTCAAATTAGTCCTTCCATAATTTTGTTATGATTATTTTTACAATAAAAAGTATAACTTCAATAACATCGGGATTTTAAAGTTTGCAATCACTATTGAGATGCAATGTGAAGTTTCTGCAATCATTACTTAGTACCGGAAGATCGAGCCTTGCTCGGTTGTGGTTAATTGGGTTTAATCGGACGATATCGTAAACAGACATGCTTAGTTTAAGTGCTTCTCGCACAGATTTGTTCTACTGTATACCAATTAAACCCCCAGATGTAATTATTATACTTGGAATGCCTCTATACTTTGAGGATTATGTTTTGGTGTGAGAGGGCTAAGTAATATAATCAGTATTTGATCGGAACTATTTCCCCCTATATCGAGTAATCTTCAGTGTAGGTAATCTTTTCTCAATTGTAGACTCTCGCTCATCTGTATCGGCCTTGTCTGGACTCCCGCTAGTCCGGATCGGCAATTGTGATTTTTTTTTAGCGGCACAGTACAGTAGAACTCCGATTATCCAAGCTAAACGTGACCAAGACTACCAAGGATAACCAAGAAATCGGATAACATGGCAGTAAAAATTATTACCGGTGGAACTGCATTTGCCCGGCTATCAATACTGTGGCCTGGACCTGGAACAAAATTGAAAAAATGGGTTTATACAGTACTGTATTAACCGTTCCATATAATCAACATTTCTTGTAAATATTTTATCATTTTTCAAAAGCTGATCTGGTTTTTTCATATTTTCTACAAATGTTTCACAATTATAGCCGCTTTAGGTTGTCCATGTTGATCTTCGTCAATGATAATGTACCGTGCATGGTACCACCCATTGTCGCCAGTACATTTACAAATTTCAGTAATTTTTTAATAGTGAAAACATTTTTTTTACATTACATAAGAGCTACCTGATTTCCTGCGTAACCTCTCTGTCACAATTTTATTTGCTTCAACTGGCATCAATTTGGTTAGTTACTGTTATATATAACGTAAATTATATTGACCTGAAAAAAATGCAGAGTTGAAAGGCCTGATGTGTTGTTCCGATGGTCTTTTGTTTCCCTTAATTGTGAATAATAGTTGAAACCCTCAATGAAGGTTTTAGTAAAGGTTTCTTGGATGCAGTCATATTCTAATAAATCACTTGACTTTTATGGATACATATATGTAATGTCCTTGGTGTACCAGTTTTATTCAGTCTTGAAGGGCTTTCCTCTGCAATGATCACAAAGTTAAGTCCATGTTTCCTACAAAAATAGTAGCACTTCGGCTAACATCCTCGTTCATCGTTTGTAGGAATCTTCATTTTGTAGATTTTCTTCATTATATAGGCTAATAACAATTAATAGTAAATTCTTAAAAAAAAAACATTATCTCTATTTTTTTCTACTTGAGGGTGTTCAATGACTTCCCTATGTTTCCATAGTAAACAAATCGGCTCTTTCAATGATTGTTCAAGAATTAATATAGGTATAGAATTAGCCCCATGTCAAACCATGTTAAATGAGATTTAGTTGCTTTTGTATTTTCTTTATGTTGTCTATTTCGAGCGTTATGTCATAACTTGGCCAGTCAGTTACCTTTTTAAAAGCCTTGTCCGGTACTAATTTTGCAATCGGTTTTAAACTAACTTCTCGATGAGCTAGACTTGAAACTTCACACATAGCTCATAAATGAATGACAATGCAATATTATATCATTTTATTTGCATAGCTAGTTTTTATTAGCTCACTTTCTTGTCCGGTTTTATTTTATCATTTTATTTTCATATTTCCCTTGAGCTATAAGCACCATGGGCTTCCGAAGTTTCAATGTTTACATTTTGGAAGAATGTAAATAATATATCAACTGGAGTCAGCTGTAAATACTATGATTTGAAAGTTTGTTCAAAGAGCAGAGGTTAAGAGGTACAGTTTCTGCTCCCGAGAGATTTAAAAAATAATCAAAATTTCAAAGTAAAGATAAAGATCTGATTACAGATTATCAATTGCATGCGCCCCACATTTTTGTTTTCAATCTTACAAGTATTTTTTTCTCTCCACATAGCCTATTTATAAATTATTTTCTACTTTTTAGTGCGTTAAAAAACGTGGTATTAAAAAAAAATTATATACAGGGGGTCCCGTAAGTAAACAGCCAAACTCCGGGAAATGGTTCTATGAGTCAAATTGAAGAGAAAATCAAGAATAACATTTTTTCCAAAATCGCTTCGTTAACCAGATATCCGCCATTTTGTATATTTTATATAAAAATTTTTATTTTTGAATTGTTTCAACCGATCTTTATAAAACTTGGTATGTAGGTTAAGGTAAAAAATACCAATGTTAGAAAAAAGATTCATCTTGATTCAACTTAAAATTTCAAAATGGTGGCCATTTTAATTTTTTAAACTTAAATTACTCATAAACGGCTAATGTTATGGAAAAATGTCAAGTACACTTTTATTTAGCATTTTTAATTCCCTATCAAACAATACCAAGTTCAAAAAGATCGAATAAGAAATACCTGAAATTTCACGATTTTTAGTTGTAAAATGGGGTAGAATAAGGCAGAAGCTAGTCAGGTTTGCCCCATTTTACAACTAAAAATTGTAATATTTCAGCTGTAAAAAAAAAACGTCTGTAAACATTTCTGCTAGAATGCTCATTTGTGTGTTAAACTAATTTTGGCTGTGCAAATGATATCTCAAATTAAAATTATTTTCTCAAATTGCAGTATGATAACTATAATATACAAAGTTTTTTTTTGACGATAAAATTAAGCCATAGGCATATAACAGTAAATTAAACACTATACAGATATTCTTTGAAACTATTTTATCATAGTCACAGAAGATAAATCTGTATACAATCTTCTGATTGGTTTGGATTGCTCAAATAAATACTATCTTTCTGTAAAAGATTCTTCCTAATGAGTGTAAAAGTTAAATTTAAGAGTGTGAAACATTGTCCTAAAAGGTTGAAAAATTAAACTTGAAGGAAACAATCCTGTGTTTAGGTCTTATTGTTTTGATACAATTGAAAGTATCATTAGAAGATAAATCAATATAAATGACCGTATCTAATTTATAATATCTTCCCAAGCATTATCCCCATCACCAAAGCAGGATTGCTGTTATGCACATTTTCATAGTAAAAACTAGTTCCGAGTTTATGCCTAGCTAGGAAAAAACCAGTCTTATCCTATAGACTCATTGGATTTTTGCTAGAAATCTTTTCACCATTTTGATGAAGCACCAAAATGTTGAAAATATCATAATTTTTTAAACATCACTTTTGAGATTGTTTTTACCGAAAGATTATTTCTTGTTAAGTTTATAGAATATAGATTAATTTAAACTATTTACAGATGCGATTGCCAGTGCACAAAATGTGAGAGTTGCGCCATCACTAAGAAGCCAGAAGGGTGAGAATTGTTTTGAAATAATTGTAGGGTAGTTATATAGGATTAGTTATATAGGTTATATATAGCTAAGTTATATAGGTAGATAGGATAGTTATATTCTGAATGCCAGCATTTTTCCTAGAAGCATGATGCTATTAAATAAAGAACAAAATAAATTTTTAGCGGTTCTACAATTGAATATAGCCTAGGCCTGCCTATCAGCATTTCAAATTAATAAAAATACAATAATTGTATTTTTGACATAATCTTATCTTAGGAAAACCCCTTTTTGGTACAACTCATAGATTTTAAAACTTGACAGGTGTTGTCTGATAGCCTATTTGAAGCAATAAATTTTATTTTTCATAAGAAATGTCTTGTAAAAAATTGTCAAACTGTCAAAAAAAGTTACACTTTGAAGCACTGTCTTAAATACAAACTGATCAACTTTTATATTCAAATGGATTAAAATACCGAAATGCATAGTATTTGTCTATTTAAATGAATTAACAAACAACATAACTGAACTGTATAGAACAATTGTTCATATCTGCTCAGTATTGTCATATCCATAGTAACTATGACACATTTCACATTTGTGTCAATAAGCAACATTCACATTACTTTTGTCATAACAAATCTAAATACTTTGTTTGAAAGTTCATTGTTGGTGATGGTGAGTTAATGTTGTTCAAAGGTTTATTGCGGACATTTTCCATCACGAATGTAAAAAACAATACACAACGTTTCGGGATCTGGAATCTGATCCCGTCTTCAGGTGAAAAAACTTAACTAACACATTACAACTAACAATACACAAACGCCCAACCTAAGTTGGAATACACTACCGAGGGTAGTAGTAAAAAAATATGCACTGTATAGCAGTCAAGTCATGATACAACATGCAATTAATAACAAATCACAAAACACTATAATCTATAAAAGGTTTACGTACAAAAAACTCACACAATGGAACACTAACAACACCGTACGCTATGACTCCACCAATGAGACTGAACCAACATGGCTGACCAATCGGAAACACGGAGACAACGGAAATGGCTTCCGGTCCCTGGAAAAGTAAAACCAACAAAATGGCGGAGCGATGTACGATGCCGCAAGATGGGTGTTAATTATGTTTATTCCTATCACGAGTTTTACTACGAGTTAACATAACGTGCGAATTTTGAGGAGAACTCGTTATTTCCCTATTTATTGAACAATTAAGTTCCCTATCCTTTAGTTCCTTGTTCAAAATGGGTAGCCAAAGTGGCCTTATTTCAACCGATGACTGACTGATTGGTTGGTCTGCTAATTTAATGTATGAGGCTTCAATGAGTTTACGTTTGAAAAAATGAGGTTCCTTATGGACAATTTTTGCCTCTTCAAAATTCATACGATGATTTTCGGACCAGCAATGATGAGCGATCTTAGATTCTTCCACTAAACCTTTTTTGGTGTTTTCTCTGTGTTCTTTGATTCTAATGTTCAACGGTCTTTTTGTCTCGCCATAGTAAGGCCTGGAACAATCATTGCAATTTATTCTGTAAACACAGTTTTTAGTATCCTGAGTGTCATTTTTGGGTTTTGTTTTGACGAGACTCTGCCTAAGTGTGTTTTGTGTCCTAAATGCTGTTTGCACATTAAATTTCCTAGCAACCCTTCTGATTTTTTCCGACAGTCCTGACACATACGGGATTGACATGTGGACGAGTTTTTCCTTGCGATTTTGTAAAGGTTCACGCGTAGCCCTATCTTCCTCATTCCCTATCAGTCTCATTGGTGGAGTCATAGCGTACGGTGTTGTTAGTGTTCCATTGTGTGAGTTTTTTGTACGTAAACCTTTTATAGATTATAGTGTTTTGTGATTTGTTATTAATTGCATGTTGTATCATGACTTGACTGCTATACAGTGCATATTTTTTTACTACTACCCTCGGTAGTGTATTCCAACTTAGGTTGGGCGTTTGTGTATTGTTAGTTGTAATGTGTTAGTTAAGTTTTTTCACCTGAAGACGGGATCAGATTCCAGATCCCGAAACGTTGTGTATTGTTTTTTACATTCGTGATGGAAAATGTCCGCAATAAACCTTTGAACAACAAATCTAAATATCTAGACATTTCTCATATAGGTAGGCTATTAAGTTTATTTGTATGTCAGCTGGAATACAGTGCTGGCCCAAAAATATAACAGTGCAAAGTTTTCCTTTTCAAAACTCTTTGTGGTCTCTAACTAATCATAATCAACATATTTATTTGTTTAGGTGCAATATGGTCAAAGCTAAAAACCAACTTTCAATGGTGGGAAGTTGACATTCTGTTCCGAATCACTGGCAGAGGTCGGATTGGAGCTGATGGATTGGTAAGTTTTCCGAGTTCTAAAAAATTTTTCTATAGTTGAACCTTAGGCTGTTTAGATACTTTGAGTTATGTCATGTTTAATGGTATGCATAGTTAAAGATTCAATTAGTCAAACAAAATTGGAAAGTGTAGGAATATGCAGAATGGAGTTGGTTGAGACAAGATAGGGATAGAACTTTTAATCCCAAAAATTTATAACTACAATTAGTGAAGTTTTTTTATTTCACAATTAGCTTCATAACACATTTGACACATGTAATGGTAATAATTAAAAAGTGTTAAAAAACAATCATACAATTGTAGTTTAAAAGACGATTGTTTATTTTGGCAGACAAATAACGCAGGTAGGAAAGATTGAAGTTAACAGAAGTTGCCAACCTTAGCAAACAACCTTGCTACTATGTATCATAGCTCATTAATTCTTAACATACTCTGATTTCACAATAGGTCCTGTTTTAATTTCAAATGATTTCTGTTCTATTATCTGACTTTACTTTTTGACTTTTTGATGCACTACTGGGAGCAAAAAATATATTTATAAAACCTATATCTTAGTTTTAATTTGTAAGTAAGGATTTCAAAATTAGTTGGAAGTATACCAGAATAAGACTCAGAATAAAAGTGTTTGTCAAATTGTCTCTTAAAAAGTTATGCACATATAGTTATCTACATATTTTGCATTATGCACAATAACTGTACTGCTAACTGTAAGTTCTAGTGTCGTTTAAAGGCTTCAGTTTCACTCAGTCCTGTCTGCTGATGGTAGCTCAGTTGACTAAGGCGTTGCAGTGACGAGTGTAGGGCTGAGGTCTTTCTACATGGGCAGATTCAAATCCTGCACATGTGCAATCTATGTCTTACTAGTATTTAGCTTAGCTGGTGAAAGAGCCCACCTTAATGAAAGGTTTACAGTATATTTGGAAGTTGATGGCATTAGTGATTTTAATAAGGATTACACTCAACCCCTCTTTTGCTTCTTTTTAAACACTAGTATGAGGATGAGGACACAGGTTTTTCTTTTTGGGCTCTTATTTTGAATTAATATGGTTATATCGGGTTAAAAGATATAGCCTAAAATTTTTAAGGCATAATAATAGGACATTTAAAAAGATAGTGGTTATAAATCAGCAAAGTAGATAAGAGCTATTACATCTTAAGCGACCAAATGTTACTTAGTGTGGTGAAATGCAGTAGTATGAATGTTAATAAAGATACCTGGGCCCAATATATCTTTCACTAACCACTACTAATTAACACACATTTCCTGTCCTAGTTCAAACTCTATTGGAAAGAAGATAACTACATTGTCATATTGCACAATAACACCTTAGCTGCCTATCACAGCCAGCTTTTGTGATGTTTAATATATCTAATTAATATAGTGAACAGAGAAATAATTGTGTAAATGGACTTATTCTGATTCGTAATAGTAACTTGATATAGCTAACGTGAATTCAAATATTAAATGCATAAATTTGGAATATTGATCACCAGACCACGACCATTTGGTAAACCTATTGTCTATTGTCGAGCCTACACCCTTCCCCAACCCCTACTATAATATCTACTCATTCTATTGGTACTCATCCAATATGAAGATGTCCTCTTTCCCACACACACACACACACTACATTCCACTACTTCGTCGTCTCTTTGCGCGGGTGAATCTTTTGGCTGCGTGCTCACCTAGTCTAGTTGCGTCACGTGACCTTACGCGTTGGACTTGTGTCTTGTAGCGGATCGCTACATAAGGAATGGAGTATTTGGGCTATTATTAAATTGGCTTACCATATTTTACAAAGCGATCCTTTAAGCGAAATGTAAAGCAGTCAAATGTGTACTTACCCAAGCTGGAGACCCAAACAGGTGGTTCAGGTGGTCTGAACTGTATTAAAACAAGTATGGGAGTTATGAGCAAAGTCCTACCTCTATTACCGGTAACACATTTGTGGCAATTCCTAAGTTAACTTGGGTTTGTTTCCCAGTAGTTTTTAATTTTCGATTTTTCTTTCAGGCATTCTGGTTCACTCAGAACAAAGGAGATTATGATGGAGAGGTGTTCGGAAGCTCGGACAAATGGGTTGGTCTCGGAGTTTTCTTTGACTCTTTTGATAATGATAACAAACACAATAACCCATACATCATGGCCGTCATCAACGATGGAACCCGACAGTTTGACCATGCTAAGTAAGAAATAAATGCAGTTTATTAAAAAAAAAAAAAAAAAAACTGTAGCATTAGAACAGAACACAACCCACCATGGTCTTTGTAGATTGATTGTGAATGGTCAATCTGGTTTCATCAAAACATGGATTTCCCAGAGTTGGTTATAAGTTTGCCATACCACTATCAAGACTGGTGGCTAGCGGAAAATGTTTGGCTACTGTTGCTTTTTCATATTTCTAGGGGTGGCTGGGTAGCCGAGTTAACAGTGCTCAAACAGTATCCTAAGGATCCCATGGTGGATGGATGCTATAGCCAGTTCCTATACCCTATGTTGATTCTATACCCAGTTATTGGGCTATTTAATTAGTGATGCAATCTAATAGCTGGGTGACATTACACATTAACAATACAGGTGTATGGACCATCATCTCACAAAACTACAACATACGTCATGATATAGAAAGACACTCTGACAAAATATAAATGATTTAAAACATTTTTGTTGAAAATTTCAGATCTTTTGACAATATTTATTACTAACAATATACTATTTTACACTATAGGCGAATACATTACACGGTTTTAAATTTCAACAGTTTGGCTAGGGTACTTCAAAATATTAAATTGTAGGCCTATCATAACATTTAAAGATAAAATTAGATGCATTAAACGGGTTGTGAACTTAGCAATAGTAACATAATATCTAAAACAGTCAAAAATGAACTACTAGCCTATTTATTTATTGGCATAAATTGCTCATAATATGGTCAAGGAAATCTAAATTGATTCCTGTCGTCTTTTAAAATGTGAAGGCTTAACATAACTTTCTATACAAAACAATTTAAAAACAACACTTTAAGCTTGTTTAAAACTTTTTAAGTGAACTTAGCTGAACTTAGTCTTATAGTTTGTAGGTCTCATTCCACCCTCTTATTCTACCGGTGTGAGCCAATTAAAATGTTCAGTATAAATCTTTTCAAGGTTTTTAATTCTTCACTCTAAACATATCTTTAGTTGTAAAATAGGTGCCATGCTTAACAATATAATGCTTCACATAAAACATATGAAACGGGCAAGCTATTCACTGATATTTCCAACAATACACGTTCTTCTAATGTATTATGGAAAATCAATATTTTTCACCTAAAAGTCATATATATGTCATATCCTGCTTTGCATACTCCTCCTTACTAGTTTACCATTTTGAGGTAAAACCCTATGGCTGTCCAAAGTTTGTAATGTTCAGGTACTGATGTGAATTTTTTTATGAAACGTCCACAATGTAGGCATTATCTTCTTGATGGTCTGAGCTATAAGCTGTATACAGTTTTATTTCAATTGAGCCCCAGATGAATGCAATCATAGTGTGGAGGCACATTCATAACATTTTGTTTGTGTATTGGTAAACTTGTGTTCTTATTGACTAGTGTATTTACAGTATATGATCCAGTTAATCAGCTGTCGACAAGAATATAAATAATTACTGTTCCACTTTTGTTGATTTTCAACTTACAACTTTTACAGTGACGGAGGAAGCCAGATGATCGGTGGATGTTTGCGTGATTTCCGAAACAAGCCTTTCCCAACAAGAGCTAAAATTGAATACTACATGAACACATTGACGGTAAGTTCATATTATAGTATTGGCAGTTATTAGTAATTAATCTATTAATCTTATATTATAACAACGCCTGCTTGTATATTTTACGTGGGTCGTCCAAAAAGTAAAGAACTTTTTAGCATGGTTAAATAAAAACAAAACATATCCAACGACAAACTTCATTTACAAAGCCACTATACTTTATCCTTATTTTCTATGTAATCCCTATTGTTGTTAGTTAAGACACTTGTTGTAATGTAATGTAATGGAATACAACATCGGAATAGAAAACCTGGTCCCACATTACTTTGAGAGATTTTAGCCATGTTGTCACTTCTTATTTAAGTTTCTCGTCCTTTCCAAACTGTCCCCCCCCCCCCAAAAAAATGCCTTTGACTTTGTAAAAAGGTGAAAATCACTCAGTGCTAGGTCAGGGCTGTAACTGATGATGAAAGATTGTCCACTTTAGACTTTGAAGTTCCTGCCACGTTCGTGTTGAAGCATAAGGCCAGGCATTGTCGGGAATGAAAAAGACTTTGGCTGACAGCGTTCAACATCTCATGTTTTGAATGCGACGGAGTTGTTGTCAGTCTCACAATAGGATTCTGAGTTTATTGTTGCACCTCATGACATAAAATCAATATGGATTAATCCCTTACAGTCCCAAAAACTTTTTGAGCACTCAAAAATCAGGTTAAAATTTTCACTTCACATTTTGTAGGATTTCCAAACTATCAATGTAGGCTATATATAGTTTATATTTATATCACAAATTCATATAAATACATCATGGGGATTGGTCAATATTAAGACCCTTCTATATGAACAATAGTACTCATAAAATTATATGTATTCCCTTTATTGCTTTGACCGCATTTTATTGTAATTTAATTTACAGTCAGTTATATTATATTCAAACATTTTTATTCATCATAACTAATGTACATTGATGTAAAAGTGTCAAAATACTTAAAATAAAAGTACTATATTTATTTCTGGGAGGTGGAAAACTCATCAAAAGAATATAAAGCTAAATTTATTAGTTTACTATATGCTCTTTTAGAACTTTCTGAAATGTTAGGGCTTTTTCTTTTTTTATGAATTTAGGGACAAAATTTAGAAAAAACTTTCCCAGCATATGAGGGGGTTTAAAAAAAATAATTTGCGAGGCTGGACAAACTCCCTTTCCCTCCTGAAATTATAAGAACGCAATGAATTTTCAATTTAATTCTTCCTTTGATTCTTTTTTTTGTGATTATAATTGTTTAATGAATATGTTGCTATAAACTGTGAAAATTTGCATGTAAAGATTAAAAATTTGTACCAATGTAAAACTGTTGTAAAATGTTCTTTTGCTGAATCATCTCGTTTAAGCTTAAGTAAGCATAATTCTACTAGGCTAGCCTCATTTTGCTGCTTCAGAATGCTATCTATGTTTAATATTTTGTTGACCCATACAATGCTAAACGGAATGAAAGATGAGAGTGAATGTGAGCAAAATATATACTTTTTAGATTTTGGGGCATTCAAATTACAATAAAGAGACATTTTTGATCATGCAAAAATTCCAGAGTTAATTTTGATTAGGTAACTTATATGTACATGTTAAGGCATACACATATCCTCTGGTAGAGAAGATATTAGTTTTATTCTGTGCATAAACATCTACATCAAGCTAGCCTAGATGGGCAAACAGGCAAAAATAGTCAATGTTTTAAAATACCCCTGCCGCAGCATACCTGCAGACAAAGCGAATTTCCATCTACCCGGCTGGAATTCTACTAAATTATTCCCTTAAAATTAATTGTCCGATTTATTTTCTATTTAGCCTACATATCATTAATTTTGATGAGTACTTAGGTTTGCTGATACAGGGAAGAAGATATGGGGTTTTTTTTATTGAAATATTCATAGCGTAGTATGAAGTAAACAAAATTTCATTAAAATATGTCCATAGACAAGCAAACTACAACAGTTTATTTATTCTCCATAAGAATAACATGGTAATTTTAAATTTACACTTTTCTGGGGATTTTTTCCGTAACCGTTAACAATACAACAATGCTTCAATATACTAAATTATTAGGTTTTTTTCAGCTCTACAAAATGGTTTGGAAATAAATTGCAAAATTTTATGTTTACAGGGTGAAAAATTGGAAAACACATTTTCACCCTATAAAACCTCCCATGAACCCCCGTTCCCATAGTACGATCATGCTGGTTCGCAAACTCGTTTGAATAAATGTAGGTTTATACCAAATTTCATCAAAATCGGATCATTTTTGCTCAAGTTATCGTGCCAACGGACACACACATATATATATATATATATATATATATATATATATATGAATTTGAAAGAATAAGAATTAATTAAGAATTAAAAAAATTCGTTCCCGGGTCCAGGTCTTACCATGAGACCTACGGTAATAGCTTATTCCCTATGTGGGAAATTCGCTAAAACTGCAAAACTAACAATACTTAACAAAACTCAGTCAAACACACAATTGAAAGATTGTTTGAAAGTCGAGTTTCAATTGACGTTTGGCGTTTGTTAACATACATTAATCATCACACATCTGTATCACATTGATAGCACGGTTCAAACAGACTGAAAGTAAATATTTGTTACCTGTGGATTCATTTGGTTTAAACAGTTTGAGCCTTTGTTTGCATCCTAACGATGAACAGGCTGAAAAAGATACAACCAATTTAAGTTCTAATTTAACGACACTTAAAAAAATATCACTGCAAGATGATTATATAATCACTTAGAAAAAATAACTTGATAAATTGAGTGATTTAGATGTGTATGATTTGTATTAGTAAGTATACACTTTAAACTGAATTTGGTGTTTTAACAACTAAAATATTTAAGCAAGAGTGATTAATAGTTTTATAATTATTTTAGAAAATTCACCGTATAAGGAAATAAGGGCGATTTTGGATTGAAAACTGGGCTTTCCAATTTTGACAATCAAAACATAAAATTTTGCAATTTCTCTCCACACCTTTTTGTAGAGTTTAAAAAACAAGTAATGTTGTACATTGAAGTGTTGTTGTAGGCCAAATGGTTACGGAGAAAATTCCAAAAAACTGCAATTTAAGATTCTCTTGTTACGGTATTCTTATGAAGGACGAGTAATCTGTTGTAGTTGGCTAGTTTAAAAATATATCATTTGGATCAAATTTGATTAATTAATTTATTTTGTATTCAGCTATTAACATTTTGCTATTAAAACTCACCTTAAAACATTCCTTGTATCAGCAAAGCTAAGTACTTATTAAACCTAAAATATCATTTGAATAAGTAATAAATCTGACATATTTAAAGAAATATTTTAGTGAAAATGTAATCAAGCTAATGGAAATTCGCTTAGTCTGCAGGTTTGCTGCGATAGGGGTATTTTGTTTTAATATCCCCACTCCTATGAGGCTTGGATCAAATTTGGTAAATTTATTTATTTCATACCCAGCCATTAACATTTTGCTAAACAACCCTTTATAAGATTTATTGTAGAAATACTAAAAACTAACGTTTCTGTACACAAACCTAAGTAGAGTAGAACCTTGATTATTCCCGGGTAAAGGGGGGAGAGAGACCACGGATAACTGAAAACTACGGTTAACTGGACATTACATAAACATACATTACAATTTACAAACAAATAAAACCGCTTACTATCTATAGGCCATTAATGTGATAATTTGTATATTAGCTTTGACTATTATAATACAACAACTAGACATTCCATCCCTATGTTAAAGTTGTAGCCAGGTTTTTAATACAATTTGTCTTAGTTGATGTGAACCACCTACAGATTGTGCTGATCTAAATTACTGATTTCTGTCAATTACATGATGGCTTTTACCAAGCCAAACTGATGGAATGACTTATTATGAGCTATAGCAACTGTTGTGACCCAGCAACTATGTCAGTAACGAAAAATAAGGTACAAAATAGAGTTTTAGATGCTAGTGCAATCTGTGACTGGCTCACACAACTACATTCTTTTTTAGTAAAAAATTGGCGACAGCTGATCCTTATAGATGGGTTGTCTTCTTCTGTATCCAATAGTCAATGATATTAGGCTACATCCTCAAAATACAATTAGTAAACTATTGCACAATCATGATGTGATTAGGCGTTAAGGTCTTAACCTTGGTTCAGTAATAAAAACTGTAATGTTTAAAATCACAGCTTACTAAAACTAAACAAAAAAATCCAAACACTATTCAGCAATAAATCATGTAAAGAACAGAACAGAAAGTCTAGTAAGCTACTGCTAGTCATAGGCTATTGATGCTACGTGCTGTTTCAGGACAGAAGAATTTAGTAATGTAAAAACATTAGATAACTCCTAAAAAGGTATAAAATAAAATCATAGTACTGTACTTGTAAAGATAGATAATGACAATAGTCGTAAAATAAGATTATTATAACAATTACATAAAAACATCGCTTATTCTTTAGAATCCAAATCCATTGTTGTAGCCCCGAAACTGCTATTTAGACTAAAATAAGGCCTATATGTTATGTAGGTCATGTTCCACAATGGAAACACCAACAATGAGGCTGACATGGAAGTATGTTTGAGAGTGGAGGGGGTGACATTGCCGTCAAGCGGACATTTTGGTCTCTCTGCAGCCACTGGGGGACTAGCAGGTAAACTACAACTAAATAAAGAATATTATAATGTCACTACTTCTGTCAATATTGTAATTTTTCGTAGCAATTTTAAAATATTGGCATACCAAAAGGACTACTAATTTGTAATTTAAGTTTTAGATTTTCTTTACAAATTCTAGGAAAATATCACTATATAGCCATACTGTGTAGCTGTAAACTCACACAAAATCTCTAAAGGGTTCTGTGAGTGTAGGCATTATCCATATAGCATGAGGGTTTTTAAAATTTTATCTAAAAGCTCACCATATGGTGAGTCGGTGGCTCAGTCGGTAGCGTCGCGGACTTCGGGCCCAAGGCAGTAGTGTCGAGGGTTCGGATCCTGGTCACTGCCACAAACTTTTATCAGTACAGTTCACCTTTGTACTGTATCGGCTCACCCCTTGCTTTGCTGGATACGTTCCACGCACAGATCTGTAGTCTATGTGGACGGGCAAATGCAAGGTTAAAAAAGGCCGCCAACCCCTTAAAAAAAAAAAAATATTTAAAGGGTTTGAACAACTATTTTGTTGGGAATCCATAAATATTTTCTATGTTTACATAACTACCCTGTAAAGTAAAACCCCGTTTTATCCAAAACCGCAGTAAAATTCAATTCAATTGACAAATTATCCAGGTGACGAGAATTGTCCGCCGTAGCTTTGGAAGTAGGCGCATGGACTCAGTCATTGTCGTGATGCCACTGATCCTCCTAGCTTGATTTGCTGACCTCTTGATGACCAGTAAGGGTAATATATTAATTGCTGCTTTTTGTGTTGCAGATGACCACGATGTACTGCATTTCCTGACCACCAGTCTGTACCCACCCGGAACTTCACCCCAGGGAGCAACCGTTGGTCAAGCAGGAGTCAGTCCTGAGGACCATGAGAAACTGGCCAAAGAGTACGCTGACTATCAAAGGAAACTTGATCAGCAGAAAGAAGAGTGAGTAGTGCCAATCATAGCAGTAAACTATAGCATTCAATGAATAGGACAAAAATCTTCAGCAGCATATCTTAGATCAAACCCAGAACTACAGATATGTAACTTTTTATTATTTTAAGCCTGGAAATCCAACCAAGAATTAATTCCTTACGGCCATTGAATTGCAGCCGTTGTGCATTACCAATATTTAGATCATTCAGGGTGTCTAGTTGTCAGGAAAACGGGAAAGTCGGGAATTAGTACTAAATTTCAAAATGGTCTTGAAAAGTCGGGATTTAGTCTTTACTGTATTTTGATATCAACGTCGGAAATTTTTATAATTTTGCCCCTATCGCACTAGACGACAATCATGTTTCCGTGACCGCGCAAGACGACGATCATGTGTCAGTGACCACGGGAGACGATGATGATGTCTACACGGGCGCGGGAGATGTTCATGACTAAGGCACGATCGCGCTAGACAACGATCACGTTTTCGTGACCGCAGGAAAAGTGATCATGATTTTTCCCCAATCGTGCCAGATGATGATGTCTTCACGGCCACGGAAGATAGTCACGATTTTGCCAGACGATGATTACGTTTCTGTTACCGCGGGAGTCAATGATGCCTACATGGCCGTGGGAGATGTTCATGAGTTTGCCGCGATCGCGGAAGACGATGATGATATCTACTTGGCCGCGGAAGATGTTCATGATTTTGCCGCGATCGCGGATGACGACGATAACATTTCCATGTCCGCGGCAGTCAATGATGATGTATACACAGTCGCTAAAAATTTTCTTGATCCAAAAAAATCAGGGCTGTGCGAATAGTTCGAAAAACGAATCGAATCCGAATCTTTTTAGAGATTTGATTCGGATTCGAGAACGAATCTACTGTTTCTAACTGGATTCGGATTCAGAATCGATATTCGAATTTACTGGTAAGAGATCCGGGTTCGGATTCGATATTCGAATTTCTTGGAAATAGATCCGAGTTGGGATTCGTTATTCAAATTTACTAGATTCTAATTGAATATAATTTTCAATATAATTTTTTAGACACTAAAAAACTACTTGTGCACTCCGATTTGCTGTTGACTGGTTCATGTTAGGAACCTGACCAACTTGGTGTTAGGTTTTAGGCACATTAGTGTAGGTCGCATTTGAACCCTATCTTGGCTATCAGTAAACTTAACCTCACAGTGTTAGTTGTTACTTGTAATAGTAATGCAGACATAGGCTTGTGTGGAGGATTAACACCGAGGTGTATAATAGGCTGGGCCTATGTTTTAGACTACACAAATTGGTAGTCCATCACTTTTAGCGAGTAACTTAGGCCTAGGTGGTATGCCTAACTTAAGCCCAATTTTTTAGTTTCAAAACTTCAAATAGGTAGGCCTAAATTTTATAACTTTTTTATTTGGCCCATTTCAAGAATTTTTTTAAGCAATTCCCTAAGTTATTTCAGCCCCAGAAAATGTGGTCTAAAAATGTGAAAATTGGTACTGCTGACTTTCCTCGGATTTGGATTCGACTCTGAACAGGTTTAAATATTCGGATTCGATAACAGCTTTAAATTTCAGATTCGGATCCGATCCAGGTTCGATAATAGGTTCAATACATACCCGACAGGTTCGATAGTGAGTCGGTGGCTCAGTCGGTAGCGTCGCGGACTTCGGGCCCCAGGCAGCGATGTCGTGGGTTCGGATCCTGGTCACTGCCGATAACATTTTATCAGTACAGTTCACCTTTGTACTGTACCGGCTCACTCCTTGCTTTGCTGTTAACGATCCACGCACGGGCGCTTAGTCTATGTGGACGGGCAAATGCAAGGTTAAAAGAGGCCGCCAACCTCTTTAAAAAAAAAAAAAAAAAAAAAAAAAAAAAAAATGGCTGTAAATTTGAGATTCGGATTCGACCCAGATTCGACTCGGGATTAATTAAAATGTTCGGATTCGATAAAATCTGTACAGCTATGATTCGGATTCGGATTCGAACCAAAATTTCTGGATTCGCACAGTCCTGAAAAAAATCGAAATTGGCTAGTTAAAATTGTTCATTGTTGCATTTTTTCTTTACTTGAAAAACACCCCATTATCCTAATAATACTTAATGACATAATGACAGGGGTTGGTGAATTGTAATCAAATTATTTACAAAATTTGGTTAAACTATAAAAATTGGTATTAATATCAAGAATCAATAATCGATACATTTCAGAATCAACACATCACTAATTGTTGAAGAAAATAGTCTTGAAAAATCTGTAATTAGTCTTGAAAATCCTGGAATTAGTTTTGAATTTTAAAATGGAAATAAACTAGACACCCTGTCATTTGATTTTCAAGATGTTCAGTCATTCCAGTAGACAAACAAGGTGGATTGTGATTGGGAAAACTGATGTAATCAGGTTCTTTCTCTTACGTCTCTCTTCGTGAAGAAATTGCTTGGAACCATTAGCTTTGTTTCTAGATCTGACATCAGCGTACTGCACTCTGAAGGAATGATTTCTATAACAATATACCGGGTTCCTCCATATTGTGTCTTCTTAATTCAATGCAATCAGATAGGATAACAATATACACCGGTACTTAAATGCAACTCTAAGATGGCTTGCTGCAGAGATTGGTACTTGCATCATTGCTGTTCAACGTGTATACTGCCTACATTACACTCACCAGGGAAAGAGCGTGGGACTCTGGTCCCCTAGGGTCCGGGCTCAAATCCAGCCCAATCACCAATAGATTTGTTCTAAGTGATAATGCCCACTAGGCCTAGCCTGAAGTAATATGGTCATGGGCCTAGCGTCCTATTATGTGAAGGTGGGACATGCAAAAAAACAATGTATATATTCCACTCACTCTTCCTCAGAAATTGGTCTTATATGACATTCAAGCCATGTTAATGGTGGTATCATACCAAATGCTTTCCAAATCAGATTCATCACAGAAATGTATATTTTTTGCAGCTATCGTAAAGAACATCCTGAAGTTGCGAAAGACTCAGATGCAGATCTCGATGAGTGGTACGAGTCAGACAATCAGCGAGAGCTGCGTCAGATCTTCTCAGGCCAGAGCCAGGTAAGCTATTGCAGCAGCAACAATTATTTTATGCTTCTTGTTTTAAAAATTTTAAGTAATTTTTATCATTAGCTCTTAGCAGTAATTAAACTGGAATCTTCAACCCATGAACCAAGAATCAAAGTTAAAACTGTGTTGCTTTGGAGGAATATGTAGGAGTTACTATTTGATTTTCAGCGTTTTGTATAGCTTTAAGTAATTTATGCATCGCTAATAAATATTAGTGATGTTAACTCAACTGTCAAACATTACAATGAAACTATTTTCCCAGCTAGTACACCTTTAACATCTCATAATCCATTGTAATACAATAGGCCTAATGTGCCTACCAAGTCTTGTGTTAAAATGATTCACTGTAGAATACATGTCTACGGTTGGTATTTGCGAGTATTCAGGACATACACAAAATGACAACTATTTTCTTTATAAATGGATTTTTTTGTTTCTTGTGCCAGAGTGGTAACTTTCCCATTTAGGTATTTCTGTTGTTCTTTCTGATATGATATGGAAATAACATTTTGTTTTTTTTAGGTTATAAGAAAATCATGTAGGAAAAGAATTAACACAATCACTACCAAGTGTCAGGAGACTACACATACAGAGGGTGTGACGTCCAGTAATGAACCTGTTAACTAGGGATGGACGGGATTGAATCTTTAGTTTGGGACAGGACGGGATTTTTATGTCCTTCCCAATTTTCGGGATGGGACGGGACGGGATTTTTTCTTCTGCATAAAAAGGGGTTGTTAATATTCTTGAATATTGCAGTTACCAAAGAGACAAACAAAAACAATTTTTACCGTTTGTGGCACTGATCTATAAAAACCAAGAAATGGGTAACAATTTACAGGTATACAAACTTGTGACTCGCGGTCATGGCGTGATCGTCGAAATTACTCGGCGGTCACAACGCGATCGTCGAAATTACTCTTGTTCACGGCGCGATCGTCGCAGTGGCATAACTAGTCTGTCTGCACCCCAATGCAAGTATTCCCCGTGCGCCCCTATTCGTACTCATTCTCCCCCCACCATAACACCTCCAACGAAACTATTAGCGACATTTCTCCATACTTCCTGGATACTATTTTATACACACGACATTGTACAAAATCTATCCAATTAGAGAAAGATTATTCAAAGAAATATAATTTATTATGTACAGTAGTTTTAAAAGTTAATTATTTAAAAAAAATAATATTCAAATAAACGGTATCACCAATCTGACATCCTTACTCCCATAAGCTTGTCAACAACCTTTATTATGGGTAAGCGGTGGCAGTAACTATGATATTTTATAGGGAAAAATCACAAAAGTTGCAATAACCTTTGAACTGTAATTGTTACAGCAATGGGGGTTGCACTATTTTGTTTAGAATTATTAGGACCATAACACATTAATTTTAATCAAACCGGTTTTTTTCCTAAAATCAGATTATTGTTATTTTATGGGTTTTTTTTATGGGAAAATAACATAAGTTACAACAACTTTGGAACCGTAATTATACAGAAATGGGAAACATTTTTTTCAAGTTTTAAAGGATGGTGACATAGTAATTTTAGTCGAAACTGGTGTTTTTATAAAATCAGATTTTTTTGTTATTAGGGGTTTTATTGGTAAATCACCATTAAAATAAAAATTTTGAAAAAAGGAA